ACCACGAAGTTAAAAAAAATGGCAGCATGCAGAATATCAGTCACAGCTATTTTGTAATTTTTGAAATTTAAAGTTTTTTTTTTAGTTTTAATAATTTTAGATACTTAAAAATGTTGAAATGTAGCGGTGAAAATGTTCTTGCCAAAACGAATGAATCTAGTGTAATAAAACTAGTGCGTTACCAAATAACAAAAAGATTACATTGAGTAAAAGATGACTATGATTTGAGAAACTAAAATTCCATTTTTACATTTTTTTATTGGCAGACTCTAATTCATTTTAAAACTGTTATATAAGTACATCAAGAAAGTAATGTGTATGGGCATAAGGAATACTGCGTGAAAATCGCCCCCTCGAATATTTAATTACTTTTAAATAATATGACTTTTAATTTAAGGCGTGTGAGTAAACGTGTTAGATGACTACGTATGGCGCTTCGGGGCGTTATTTTTACTTTTTAACCGACTTCCAAAAAAGGAGGAGGTTATCAGTTCGTCGGAATATTTTTTTTTTTTTTTTTTATGTATGTTACCGCATAACTTTGGACCACGTCAACCGATTTCGATAATTTTTGCATCGGAAAGGTAGTGTCTCAGAAGTGGTCCCATACTAATCTGGTTAAGATCCGATCAGCGGATCATGAGATATATATATATATATATATATTTTTATATGAGAGCTGAAGTCGGTTTTTGATGGTTACTTTTCGAGTTATGGGCTTCCAAAGAATAGTAAAAACTAAAATTAGGGTTTTTCTAAAGTATCTTTTTTGTATTGAAAAAAAATTCGAACAATTTTTAAACTTCGCGATTTGCTGAGAAAATTTCTCGCTTTTTAAAATGCGAAATAAATTAAAAAAAAATTATTTTTTTGTTATACCACACCGGAAGTGAAAATAAAACAAAAATTTGCGAAATGTCGACCAATTATTTTTTTAAATTTTCTTTTTCAATATATAGCCTCAGGTGTAGTTAGTTCAAGAGTGTGCTCTGCATTGGTCTCCACTCAAATTCTACCTGCCCTGCCCTGGACACTCTGAAACCACATGCTTACATTGCCGAAGAACAGTCGCTTTATTTTAAAAATCTTAGGGGAAATTTAGACGAAGTAGAAGTCATCGTACAGTGTGATTTTGCAGAAAATTATAGTTTGTTGTCCAAGATGCCACCCAGGCTTCCAATGGAACAATGACCAGGAAACACTCCTCACATCGAGTTTTTATTATAGAGATGGAATGGAAATAAAACACGGCAGCACTTGGAGGGAACCTCAAACGTTTAGCTACGCGTGCAAACCTCAGTTACCTCGAAGTAGATCAATCATTTCACTTGTAGAGTTTTACGACTGGGTATGTATGTACATATGTATGCAGTTTGTAACAGCGAAGGTAGCATATTGGAATATCAATGTTAATTACCATAATTGAATATACTTGTGAAATTTAATAATATTGGATAACATTTTCAGATTTGATAAATAATAAAATGCAGTCTTCATTATAACGGCGAAAATTTCTCGAAAAAACGTTACGAATATTCTTGATTGAAAAAAAGAGAAATAATAGAAACGCATCGAAACATCGATGTATCGATGTTACTGCTCAAAATTTGCATCCCTACAGATAAGTAAAAATCTCGGGTATTTTGTTAATGCTTGTTGTTACATGAGAATGTGAAAACGAAAGCAAATGGGAGATAATTTTCGCAATTTTATTTTGTTGACATCCTACAGCTACACCATTTCGTCTTGGATGACATTCTGCTGCACTAGTGTAGAGACAAAAATATCAAATCAGCTGTCTAGTAACACCACCTTGTGCGCGTTTTTAGACATGATATGACTTGAACATAATAAAAGTTGCGATTTTTTCCAGTGGCAGCAGTGTTGCCAGAAAAGCTAAACTTGATTCAGTTTTTCACCTAAAACCCAACACAATTCTATAGTTGAGACTCATTGCTTTACCATTAGGATTTAAAATTAGCAAACGATCGCCAATTTATTTGGCTTGTATACATATGTATTTGGTTAAATAAAAATCATTGGAAATATTAGAGTACAACTCCACAACAAGCTTTTCAGGCATTCCGCGCTTTTAAGGCTTCCAACTATACAATTCAGCTATTGCTGAAAGCCTGAAAAGCGTAGAACCTGTACTCTGAGAACTCCACAATAACTTTTTCGACTACCGAATAACCGATTAAGTATCCTAATTTTTGAAATTCTGAATTTTCAAAATACCCTGTCCTAAAATATTTTTGAGCCAAAATGTATTTGACACACCTTGTTTTGAACGACGTAAACTTCTGCTTCTCTCACTTCTTATGAAGGCAAAATCAAAAAGCAAAACATATAAATACAAAAATTAACACAAAATGTTTCGCATACAAAAATTGCTGCTTGAAGAATTTCGTGAAATCTACGAGCCTGTTATTGTGGAGAATCCATTTACGCAAGTGACCGAAGATGGGCACGGGATCAGACAATATCACATTGGTAAGCAAGCTCAATAGCGACAAGTTCAAATCTGTATTAAAATGAACTTATTTTTTTTTTTTTTTGCTACTGTTTGAATTTAACTAACACAATTAAAAGGCCTCACACCATCAAAAATCATCTTCGGCTGCGACGATTTCGATCTGACAGATATGGATAATTATGGCTATCATAGCATGGATCCCGAAATAGAAACTTTTCAATTGGTCAGCTTGTTGCCGCTGCAGTTTTTGTTAGTGAAATTTTTTCGCAAGCAGGGACGCTGTATTATGCGTCTATGCATCGTTGGCGATGAGGATAAACCGATGTTTTTTGAATTTGGTGGTCACTTGTATAAAAATGTAAGTAACGCTCTGTTGGTGAAGTGGGTGGTAAATATTTATGTAACCTTGTTTCATTTATAGTTGTTGTGGAATACGTGGCGTGAGCGTATTGCCACAATACGTTTGTCACAGCCTTTGTTCTTCAACATATCTGGATGCAGCCCATTCTCGAGCACAGATGTGTTGGTGGAGGACGAGGAGGTGGAAGCGCTGGTGCATTCGGCGCCACATTCGGTGGCTAGTTACTGCATGAGCCTCGGACGCCAGTGAGGGTTGAGGAAATTACTTTAAATATCAGATGAAAAAAAAACTTATGATATATGTATGTATGTACGTAATTACATATCTGTATGTATGTATGTATGCGTGTATGTACATACAGGATTTTATTACCAAGTTATAAATGTGATAACAATTGCTTATGCGTACGATTTTTGTTATAGAAATATATTTTTATATATTATACAAATAAGAAATATAGACATAAAATAATATAAAAATAATACATAACATAATTGAGCAGATGTGTGTTGGCCTAACGCAAATATCTGTAAAATTTATTGCACAATATGAAGAAGAAGCTTTTCGTAGAAACAAAATCGTTACTGACGTGTGAAAGGGACAAAAAGCAATTTTTGTTTCAATAAAAAAAAAATAAAATAAATTAAAAGAAAAATCACATTTCGTAAAATGTATGAAACGAAAAGGTCAAAATATAAAGTTTAGCGCACTTTTCATGAACTTTTTTGAAAGCACTGTTGCCATATTTACTCGCACTTAAGTTACCACTTAAACATACGGGTATAGATTAAGTTTTTAACTTTTTTTTTTTTTGTTTATACAGACATTTTAACAATATGGCTAGATATCTTAACAAAATTGTGGTATGCATTTGTGTTTTTGCATTCGATATGCTTCTCCACCGCAAGCTGAATATTTTCCGTTGAAAGCTTAACTGCCACCAGGCTTTTCCCAAACTTTCAGTTACCAAAAGTTATTGTCTTATCGGAGCTTTTCGCACCATTCGCACCACCACCACTATGCCGATTGCCATTCTTCAGAATGCCATTCGTGCCCCCATTTGCGGCGCAGTTGCTCATTCTCGCTGCTGGCGCCGCCGCCGTTGTGGCTACCTCATTTATGCTCACGCTATGCAACTTCCTTGCCACATTCTCATAGTTCTCGTAGTTATTGCGTAGCGGACAGTGGCTTTGATGCTCCAACGGCTCGGCCGTTTTCTTTAATTTTGAACGCGTCAACGTATTCTGTAATTCCGCTTGCAGATTATCTGCACACGTATCTGTCGTACCGTTGCTGCTACGCTTTGGCGTTCCAACAAAATCAAATTTACCCGGTTCTCGTCGCTGCTGCGGTTGTTCGTATTCACCGATGGTTATGGTCCCCGCTCGCAGTGTGCGTCTATTGCTGGAGTTGTTGTGGTGGTTGTTGTAGTTGCTGTTGTCATTGATCATGTCGCGTCCATTTGTGACTACATTGGTGCTGGCATAGCCATACGACGGCCTTACGCTGCTACAAATAGTTGTAGTTGCTTTTGTACGTATTTCCACATTATCATAATCGGGCACTGGGGTGGCTGGCGGCTTGGGCGGTTGTTCTGTGGGCGGTTTGAGTGTTGGCGCACAATTGTAATGGTTGATTGGTTTTTGTTGCGCCTGTGGTTGTTGGGCGAATTTATTCGTGTTGTTAGCGTTGTTTGTGTACTGTGGTTGCGTTCGCGGTGGCGAACTGGCGAATTGTGGTGGCTGCAAGAGAACAAACAAGCAAACTTATTATTTATAATACAAATTTGGTTAGTAGTTAAAGTTTGTTGCGCAAATTAATAAAAGTTAAAAAAAAATGAAATTGCGCAAATAAAGGCGCGTACAACAGGGCGTATGAGTCATTTTCAAATTTTTTGCTTCCGGTACTAACTACTTTAACCGCATATAGTACTTGGCATGTAAAGCAAATATCCTCCACTTAACTTCAAGAAGCGTGTTAAAGCGATATATGTAAATGTTTGCTCTTCCGTTGTTTAAATCATTAATAATAACAGCAAACAGACAAAGTTTGCCGGAAGACCTCCTAAATGGAATTAATATAGTTCTAGTTCAATAGCGCATGCTTTTAACTAATTGAAAATAATAACACATGTAGCGGGGCATACACACATGTCCCTCGAGATTGCATGAACATACTTTAATTATGCAGCAACCTTCGTTGGTTTGTTCTGCCAGCTTTGGCCTAATGTAAATATTTGAGCTTGACTTGCACTAAATCGAGTTGTTATTCCACTCCCAATGTCAGCTGTGAATAACAATATATGGGTTTTAGTCGTATGTAGGATTTTTACAAAAAAATAAATTTTTCAGTTTAAAACTTTCGCGTAAATCTTAATAGTTTTCCCAAATATATTGGCGGCAATCTTAAGATATAAAAAAGTATATTTCCGGTGGAAAGCCGCAACTTTTTTTAGTGAGACACCCTAGCATAAATACATACATACATATGTATATTGTACACGTTGTTTAAAAGCGTGTTAACTCCAAAAATTCGCCGTTTGTCAGAACCGCAACTAACGAAATTTTGGTGCCGATTTTTCTGGAAGGTAAACAAACATTTTTTAGCGCATAATATCAAGTATTACAAATTTTGAATGAATAGATTTTTGAATTAATAGATTTTTGTAGAACGTGTACGATAGAAGTATCTACATATAAAGTTCGATATGCATCCCTATTTAATTTGAAAGGGCTCCTGCCACATTGCTTGAAATGAGTAGTTCTACAAAAATCCATTTCATGGCCCTTGGCTATGCCTCGGTTTCCCAGAGCGCCGCTAGAGTTCCGATGTCAGTGTTAAATCAGATTATGCCGACGTAGGGATGATCTTTTAATATGCCATGGCCAATGGAGGTATATTTAATAAGGGGAGTTCACGGTTGTAAAATTGCTTCATAGAATAAAAAGTTTGCTAGATTCGTATAGATATTTCATTCTACGTAGGTATTGAATATATCTGTGGACATTTGACAAAACAAGCTCTTTCAAAATTACAAATTTTTCAGGAAAGCGAAAAAACATATTAAATGCTTTCCATAATATAAGTTTCTTACAATGAAGGAAAAATGTTTGTTAAAACTGGACACATATCAATGAACATGCATTTTTCAATATTTTTTTTTTTTAAATAAATAGAAAATATATAAATTAAACCTTTTGTCAAATGCTTTTTCAAACAAAAAATCATCTTATCCCATACAAGTTATTCTGTAAAATAGTAAATGGTTTTCATGCCTTGAGTTTATTCGAGAAAGCAAGTTTCTTAAAATATGCATTTGGCAACAGAACTTCAATCGAAAGAGGTTGTTGCGTCAATTGTAAATTCCAACTTATTCGAAAGAAGATCCTTTGTCAAACGCATTGAAAATTCATGTACATACATATATGATAGAAATCTTGGGAAATTGTCTTATATCGAGAGAAGTTGTTTTGTCAAATGATCAGAGATATGTATGTTCATTCTAAATATGGGCCAAATCAGACCATAAATACGGTGTTTTCAAATATCTCTATTCTGAGCTAAGTTTGAAGTTTCAAGTTTCTAGCTTATCGGGAAATTGGTTAAAAATTGATTGCAAGATTTGATCCAAACAAACCAATGTACATACATACGAACATAGCAAGTTAAGTTAAAGTTAGTAAAATAAAAATAAAAAAAATAAAAAAACTGGTATAAACACACTTACAAAATTATATTTGCAATCCATAACTAAATTTAGTCTCACTCACCGGTGGTGGTATTTGAAATTGTGTGCCATTTGTTGTTGTTGTTGTTCCATTATCATTGCGAAAAGCGCGACTTGCGCGATGATTTACATCATCCTCCATGATGGCTGTGTTGCGTAGCGCCTCTTGACGTTCCTATAAAATATGCGACACAAAAGTCAGGTGGTCAGCTCGGCCATATAAACGAAAATAAACGATTGTATGAATGCAAGTGAATAATTGTAAGAAGATACATAAATATTCATAAGCACAGATCTTTTAATTGTCCAATCGGATGCTTTGTCTACAGCTTCTTTGTAAAAATGTACATGCATGTATATGTTAGAGTATGTAATATGTATATGCACTAAGTTACAGGGGGGACGCTGTGTTGGGCCAGCGATTTGCTTACGTGCCTCATAGGTACTGAATGTGACCAGGCTGCGACCGTCACGGGCGGGACGCATTGTCGCGTACAATGATTTTTCGTCATCTTGTTGTTGCATAACGGATGTTGTGGCAATGATTACGTTGGCAATAAGACACCGACTGACTAATTAACTGCTATTTACTATGAATTATATATATGTATGTATGTAGATACGCCAACTTTTCAACGATATACTATTTTGAACGTTAGATGTTAGATTTGTTGAAGTCACTGTAGCGACTGATTGATTGCGGTGATTGTTATATGTATGTATGTATGTAGTGTCGACTAATTATGAGTTTGTCGATTTTCCTTTCGCCGAATTTCGAAAGCACAATAATAATTAAGGAAAACAATTTTTCGCAATTTTTGAAACTTATGACGCTGGCAGATATCTTTGCATATATGTATTTTTTAATTGTTTACGTGCACAAAAAGAATGGAGCGATATGCGTGTTTACAAGCGTAGACTTGTTTTTATTAACTGTGCCAAACAACTGGCTGCATCGCTGACTAATTACGGCTAGCTTTGTTGTTCTGAAGCGACGAGAACATGCGCAATGTTAGTAACAATAACGAACAAAAAAAAAAAACATTAAACAATATATGTATACGGCAAGTATATTTTTTCCATTTGTTGACTCGGTTTTGTTAAGTTTTTCTTTTTTGACATCAGCGGGAAAATATTAAATAATATACAGCTGCGCGCGCGATAAGATAACACAAAGTAAATTATAGCGTACATATATAGCAATATTGCCTCACGAGCAAACAAATACGCGTCGCACAAATCGGAGTCATCTACTAAAATGTATTTGCAATATAGAACACCACCATAACAACTGAATTTGCTTTGGTTTCAGCCAAGTTATTTAATAATTGAAGTTTCGTTTCGACTGCGTCTGTTGGCTGTTGGCTGTTTTGCCTGCTGTCGCACCGCGCCGCTGATTCACACTGAAGGTGTGTTGTATTGCCTACAATCGCGTTCGCCTACAACATTCCGCCAGCTGGCAATGTAGAATGATATCATTACTTTACTTAGTATATGAGTGAGTACCCGAACGCTCAAAACGGCTAGTTTTCTTCCACACGAACAACTCAAGTTTAGGGAAAAAATTTAAAAAATCACATCGACAAAATATTAAAAAACAAAACAAACATACAAATAAATAAGCGAAATATTTATTTATAAATATTGCCGTGCAACCACAACAAACACCTGTCTTATACACACACACACACACATAAGTACACTCCAGAAGCGCTTCTTTCAATCAAGCGCTCAACGCTCGTCTTTGTAATTGCTTGTGTTTTCAAACATACATACATAAATATTTGCTTTGTGCTAACACAGAAATGATAAAACAGCAAATGGCAAAAAAAAATTTAATAAAATGAACAGCACGCTTCGCTTTGTTTTAGAATAGCACGGCAACTTGAGATATGTATGACTGACTCGCTTATGAAAACAATTATACGCGGTTCTATTGCTGTATGGCTGTTTACCCTCAAGACAAAATAATGCAACTGATGCTTCGCGTGCAGCGTTCAATTTACAACGTTGGATGGCAGACCCTATGCCACTAACACAATAGCTTATTTAAGCGCTCAGCTGTTTCGTACGCGACACAATCACCGCTTCGCTCTTCTGAACGATATCCAAATGTACACGAGCAAATACTTAGCAGGGGAGCTAGTTTATTTTGAAGCACCTTCATTCCATTCGCTTGCGCTTTCCGCTTGACTTGTTCGTTGTGCTCAACTAGATATGTGCATTAGGGCGGTCCAAAAATGCATGTGGGGATTTTAATGCTTTAAGCTCCTAGGATTGTTCTTTACCGAAAAATGTATGCCCTAGTTTTTTTTTTTTGAAATCCTAAATTGTTTAGAGATCGCTCAAAGTTTTCCATGTATTTTATGTGGAAAATGGTATAAAATTCTTGAAAATCAATAAATAATTTTCGATTAGAAAACTCTGTTTTTCTTCAGGAGACTTCCAATAATAATACCCAATAGTTAATTTTACCAATTTTTTAATACAAGCGATTATTATTCATTTCCCGTATCTCGTATTACGATTATTCAATTGGTTAAGTGAAACCACTATTTTTTTCTAAGCAGAATAAAGGTAAATTGCAAATATCTCGAAAAGTTATCCATAGAAAGAAAAGTTATCTTGATTTTCGGAAACATCGAGCAATTCTACATAGGCAATGGATCGGGGCATCCATGGAACATTTTTGCTGTAAACCAGTGTTATTTTTGGATTTCAAAATAAAAACTAGGGTATAATTGTTTTCGGGCATAGAACAATCCTAGGGGGAGAGAGCATCAAATATTCCAACTTTATTTTTTTTTCACCACCCTAATAATGCACATACACCTGTATAAAACTCATTGCTCGCAGCTCGCTGTCTTCATATTGGCAAAGTTAACTTCATTGAGCATGTAACTTTAGATCTTAGACAGACACAATGACGATTGGTCAGGTGTTTCTGAGTAAGCGTATCTACCTTAGTAAGTATTGCATTATTAGAGGTTACCTAACAATATGTATGTGCTATAGAGCTACACAGAGCTTGAAAACAAGCGCAAAGCTATTGATTCTAGACACTCTACAGAGAATGTTGAGATTAGAGTTGTAACAAACAAATAAAGAAACCGATGGGATTTCCATCATATTGGTTATGTTTTTTTTCCAAGAAAAAAAAATGAACGAAGCAAGCAAAACGGAACAAAGTGTTTGCCTGCTGGTGTTGATCAGCCCTTTCCAAAAATCAATAAATATTTCAATACTTCTTTTAGGAGAATAGCAAGAAAAATGGACTAAATCGAAAATTCTACTTGCCGGCCAATCTTGCACGTCTTACTACAGACATGTTTCAATCAAAAGTGTCATAAGAACTATAAAGTATTCTTAGTGTTAAATCAATTGTGTTTGTTTTAATCAAGGAACATTTACAAGGTGCCCTACATATTGAAATATGCCAAAATAAGAATGCTGGTACAAATATGACTTTCTTAAGGATACCTTTTGTGTTGTATTATTTAGGAATGAATGAATTCTTTAAAGAATGTAGTTTCAAAGTATGAAGGAGCAGCTTTGATTTATTTTCGGCTTCAAGATTTTGGTAATATAAAAGAAGAATACAAATAAATAAGGAGAATTCATATGTCAAACTTTGTACAGTTTTCTCTTTGAAAATGGTCCTCTTTTAACTTAGTTATTTTGCATTCCTTATTCAGTCGCCAGGCATCTTGGCCAAGGCACAACATGCGTTCACTTCGGGCAAATCGACAGAGACGGCACTACACTCTTTAGTACAACCCATTGAGAAGGCTCTTGAATACAATGAATACGCTTTAGGAGTATTTCTGAATATTTCGCGTGCTTTCAATAACTTCTCAAGTGAAGCTATTTATTATGAATAGTATTGAATCAGTAGGCATATAAAGCCATTTGAAACGAATTGTAATTTTTAAAGATTTTTGTCGCTCTATTTAACATAAATAAATTTTTTTTCTAGTTGAGAAAAAAAACCCAACTTGGGTTATCAAAAAATAACTAAAACACACCTGTTCCACTATTTTACGTTCGTTTTCAAATAGATATACAATATGGGTGTTCAAACTTAACTGCTTATCAGGTTATCTGGTTAAAAATTATTATTCTCCATGGTATTTGAGGTTTTTCACACTTGCCTGGTTATCAGGTTATCTGGTTAAAAATTATTATTCTGTATTGAATTTTATTGTTGTAAACCGAATAAAAAATATAACCACATAACCAGATAACCAGGCAAGTGTGAACAACCTCAATATAACCACATAACCTGATAACCAGACAGGTCTGAGCAGCCACAATATATTTTGAGAAATCTGAACCGAGTGTAGGGTATCAGCTACAGAGTAATGATTTCCATTCATTTGCAATTTTTCTGAAACCTACACGAGGTTTGAACTAACTTAAGCGTCACGACAGTTGTTATGAATTGAGCGGGAGAGAGATGATAACTGCGACGCGTCGCACAGTACATCGACCATACGCAATTTCGTATTAAAAATGGTGAGCGCATATTAACTGTGCCGAATTTCTCGTATTCAAGAGAAAATGTGGGTGAATGCCAAGCCTATCTTCGCTAAGTATAGGCAAGTTGAATTTTGATATACCTAACAAGGTGAAGGTCCCATTCACAAATGAGAAAAATATTAGTTTTTGTAAATGGACTCGAAAAAATAAATATTAGCAAATTTTCATAAAAACTAAAAGATGTGGTTATCTCCGAAATAGCAACTATAACTTCTACCGCTTTTCCATTTTCCTAAAAAACACAATCGTGGTACAAAACCCAATAATAATAATAGATTGGCGCTTACACATTTGTTTGTGCTTGGCCGCGCTTCTCCCCGATTTGTGGCGTGCGCCTTGATGTTGTCACACAAAAGGGACAGTTTTACGCCGACTCCGAACGGCGAATGAATTTTTATGAGAAGCTGTTTTCCATGGCAGAAATACACTCGGAGGCTTGCTATTGACTGCCGAGGGGCGACCGCTGTTAAGAAAAACCCATTTTTCTACATATTTTGTGATGTTGCTTTGACCAGGGCTTAAACCCAGGCCCTGCGGAGTGGAAGCGCGCACTGCAGCCGCCAGATCAACAACAATATTGTAATAGATGTTAATAAGCCACATAAAAATATTGACAAAAATAAATAGAATATTTATGTTTGTAAGTAAACTTATATCGCCAAAAATATATTTTTCGAAAAAATATATTCACAGTGTAGGGAATTTTCGGCTGATTTTGTTCAGAAATGGCTGGAAGACTTAATTTTTACAGCAGTGTCGAATAGTTTTGGATCGGTATCCTCTTTTTGTTTTTTTTTATAGCAGCTGCCATATTGGATTGGCCATTTTGAATTTGGTGATTCAATTTCATAAAAATTACAGCGAAAATTCTGTCCCGACGCGCAATTAACATTTAAACAAATTTACAAAATTCTAATGTGAAAACCTTCCGACGGAGCTATTTAGTTTTGTAACTATTGTTGCGAAAATTTTGTCAGAGTGACAGTTGTCAGGCAATTTTCGACAATATTTCAATATTGTCGCTGTCGCTTTCCTGAAATGGTCACAGTTACCTACAGGCGTCTATCAAACAAAAAAAAAATGTCGCAGACAATTCTGGCTCCGAAATTGTTCGGAAAAATCGACAATTATCGGGACCCCAAAAAACCCCTTACACGCCCTTTTTCTACAAAAAATGCGTAAGATACGAGATTCGGATACCAGCCGCCTTATTGGATCGGTCATTTTGAATTTGTCACGAATTTCGAGCCCTAACCACCCACCAAAAAAAAGTAAGCGACATTAATTTTTTTTTATGCGGAAGCGCTTGGAAACTTTTGGAAATTTTATTGCTGCATCAAAAAGAAAATTAAAAAAAAAAAAATTTGGCCCCTTTTTTTTGGTGGTTAGCGCTTTATATTACCTATAGCTTAATGGTTAAAAAAAAAAATGGTAGTATGCACCTTCCACCACAACACCAGTTTTCTTATAAAAAATCATTTGCTTACGAGTACTAAGCTTAGCATTGGGTACTGCTACGGATATTTCAGAAACGTTTGTTTTCAATACTGTTCTGTGATCTTAAATTAAACTTGCCAACTTTTTTTTGTACTATTTTTTATCATACACGTTACACTGTGCAACGGTCGGCAGTCGTCGCTGCACTTACCTTGCGCTCAGTCTCTTGGAACCCGTTTTTGAACATACGCTGGTGGGCCCGTTTAAATTCATCCATCAATGCGCTATGTTGATCTCCAGCGCCGACGCCAACACCAACACTGGCGATTGCTAAGGTACCCGTCGCCGGAACGCTTTGACTGCTGTTGCTACTGTTATTGTTGTTGTTGTTGTTATGACTGTGATTGTTGCGCTCGCTACAATTAACATTGTTGCTAGTAGCGCGAGCACTGAGTGCGGCTGTCGCAGTGGCAGTCGCGATCGCAGTTGCAGGAGCAGCCAGCGTCGTCGGTGTTGTTGGTGGCGCAGACAATGAAAGCGATGACGAAGATGGAGACAGCGGCGTGGAGTGGCTATGCGGCTGCTGTTGTTGTTGTGTTTTCAGCGCTACTGGCTGATGGAGCGTGTGGTTGTGGTGATGTTGCTGCTGGTGCTGGTGTTGCTGTTGTCTGCTCTGGCCGTAATTGTTTTGCTTGCTGCTGATGTTCATATAATTGCTCTGGTTATTCGTGTTATTGTTGCCGTTGTAGTTGTGGCTGTTGTTGTTGTTGTGGTTGTTGTTGTTGCCGTTGTTATTGTTGGCTGTTGCAGCATTAATTCGCTGTTTCTGCAATGCGCAGAAAATTAAGCGCGGCGCGTTGCAAGCCGCACATTGCGTGTAAATTAGGCATTGGGAAATATCGAAAGTAGGTTTTTGTTATTATTGCATATTTCTAGGTAATTTACTTAAGCTATTGCCATTGTTGTTGTTTTACTGTTGCAAAACAAAAAAAAACAAGTTTTCTTACCTCTTTGCGCTTTTTCAGCTCCTCGGTTATGGCACTGGAGAGAGAGCTGCTATCCACTTGGCACGTGTTGGGGCCATGTGATAAACCTTGTTGTTGTTGTTGCTGCAATTTCTGTGCTTGTGCTTGTCCTTGTTGCTGTTGCTGCTGCTGCTGACTGTAACTATTGGCGCGTAGGCATTTTTGGAATTCTGTCTGCTTCGTTGGCGGTGTGTGGTTGGGCAATGAATGCGTTGGCTGCAGTGCGTTGTGGCTGTGATTATGGCTGTGGTTTCGATGATAGTGGCTGTTCAATTCCGTTCTTGGTTGCGCTTGCTTTTGTTGCATTTGTAGCTGTAGCTGTTGCTGTCTTTTTGCCTCCTCTGCCTCCTGCCGATGCACTTCCACAATCACCGTTTTCGTTTCGCGCTCCTCAAGCGAAGCGTATGTTGAAGGACTGGAGTTGCGCTGTGCCTCGTGCGAACCTACTGCCCCCCTAACTTTTGGTGTGCCATACTCACTTGTGCTTCGGCTCGCAGCCATTGGCTGCTGTGTGTTACTAACAAATGTATTATTAATAGATGTGCCCTGTTCAGACAATTTTATAATCGTCTTATTGACTTGCTGCTGTTGGCTGACGACGACTGGTTTCTTTTCCTGTGCATCTTTGCGTTGCTTGCTATTGCCGGCTAGTGGCTCGCCTCGCCGATGCTGCTCAGCATACGCAGCCTCATTCCAACACGTTACGGGGGTCGGTTCTTCACGCACCGATGTTAGTCGCTTTGACTTGGCATCCGCCCAGCAGGGACTCTGATCGCCAGTCACCGAACTGGCGGAACTGTTGTAGCCACTTGATTCACCCGGAAATAGATCGCATCCGGCAGCTGTGCGCACGATCATCTCTAATTTGCTGGCGCTTTTCATTACTGCCACTGCTTCGCTGAAGAGCACATCGGAGAAGTCTATGCTGTTGACACTGAGTATTTGATCGCCTTGACGTAGGCCAGCTTCGCGTGCTACACTCTTCTCTTTGGTGAATTGCACAAAAATGCCAGGTTTCCATTCGGGTCCCTTGCAAATACCTAGTCCGAGTTTGGTACGAGGCGCTACATTGAGTGTTATATTGACATCTTTGCTGCGGGTGTCGCGTTCCGGCAGGGTTCTGTATGAACTCTCTGAGGAGGCACTGCTGCCATTGGTGAATGTCTTGACCGCATGCCAGGATAGTTTGTCTGTGTCTTTTCTGGGGAGAGAAAGGAGAATTTTATTAAATGGGCTGTATTTTACTCATTGCGATGTTACATAGAAACGAATACAGAGAGTATATTGAGAACTCGAAAATAGTGCATCAACAACTTAATTTTGCTTTTTAGCAATTATTTCACTTTAAAAGTGACAGACATTGAGTTACATTTTTTATTAATTTTTTCTGAAAAATTTTAGTCTAAATGCCTGTTTTTCTGGTCAAAACTAATTACGGCTAGATAATTAAAAAACAACATTACTTTCTGTTGACTGGAAAAAAATAGTTGAACCCTTGATGACCTAGGGGTCTAAAGGAGTTAATTTTATTCATCAATGATATCAGTTTCTGCTTCCAAACTTCTAAATTTATTCTCTATCCTAATGATCTCAAGATATACTCTGCAATTAAAAATCTGAACGATTCCATTCAAGTGGACCTTAACAAACCACACTCGGAATCATCTATTCATTATGTTAAAAATTGTTCTCCCTCCACATACACCCAAAAGTAGAGTCCTTTCCCTACGCGGGGTTGCCACTTTGGTGAATTGTTATCAAATTGGTAGAAAAAATTTTGGTAGGAGAAAGATATTGTCTTTATTTTTCTAAGTGTAGTCTTCTCTATGGCAATAATTTCTAAATGCCTTAATGCACACTTTTCATATGCATACATACATATGTGCGAACATATCGTGCTCCATTCAAAAATCATTTTACTAAAATCCTGAGCTTGCACTCAGAAAGAAAGCCGAATAACTATAACTATAACCAAATCATGAGTTGAGAAAAACATATTTAGTTGACGTAACTAAACTCTTTTCTCAGTGTATGATTGCCTAAATATTTTAAATGAATCTTTAAATAAAAAGAAAAAAGTGGACCGGTATGTAACTACGCACTAATATTGTTCACAAAGAAAAGTGAAAAAATCACAAAAGACCGGCGGCAAAAAATGTTTAAAAATCGACATGAATTTTTATCTGCATTTTGTTGGTTATACTAAAATACCATGGGCTATACCCAAAATTGTTTTAAAAATTCAAAGCAAAAAGTTCGAAATTTAGACGAACATTTTTCGAAATTTTCTAAATGTATATAGGTTGAATGCTTAATTTTTGGGGGTTTGGGTTAAGCGCAAACGATATCGTAATAAAACAAAATTGCAAAATTATCTTTACTTGAAAAACAAAGTGAATATTGAACAAATTACCAATTGCTTTTGGAGTCATTGTATTTGGCTATAAAAACTCCAGTTCAAATTTTTCAAATGAATTTTCGTTGTTGCCTTTAGTTTCATCACTCTTAATATGATCTTAAATACCATGGCATTAGCTAAATAAAAAGTTCTTTAGTAAAAGATTTAATTTTTATTGAAAGAACTAAAAAAAAAATAGAATAAAGCTATAGTTTCTATTCAAATAACCAAAAAAAAAAGTTATTGGTGGATATTTTATAGGTTTGATAGATTTTTTTTCAGGTGGATGGTAAGTATTTTTTTCTTTCGTCAGTGGCAACCCTACGTTGGATTTGCAAAATCAAACTACGCCAAGTATGTATGCGCTGTTAATAAGAACTCCATCAGACTTTAAATGGCATGCCAAATCTAGATTTTTTTAATTAATTTAAATAGCCATACGTCTTCCTTCCTTATATCTACTTAGTAAGAATTTATTGTTCATTTAACTGTAACAAAAAAAATTTCCAAAAATATAGGACTGTTGCAATACATCGTTCTCTATCGCGGTGACCTTCTTTGTCTCCTTCAAATCTAATCTAATCTCAGGTGAAGCAAATCATTAGAAATACTAAGTAATTGCTCCTTCAGTTAAATTAGTAAAAAGTAGTTATACTTCATTAGCTACTTTGGCTTAATGTTTACTAAACCTGCCAAAACTTGAACGCTAATTACTTGCTAATTATTCTCATTGCTGCTGTTTCACAAAATTAAAAAAAAAAACTTACTCTTTGATCGGCAGCATTCCCACACTTCTCACTTTCATCGTAATCCGATCCTGATTGGTTATGAATTGTATTAATTCCCTGTGAATGGCGTCATCAACGCGAAATCCATTAATTCGCAGAATTTGGTCACCAATCTACAAAAAAAAACATAAAAATAAGAAAACATAAAAAGATCATTAAAAATTCATTGCGAACGCCAGCAAAACTATGCCGGTATCAATGGCCAGACCAACACATTCGAGGGAACGGCGTTTGATATGCAAAAAGCATTAACGGTTGCCTAGAATTTATGTTGCTGCACGTGTGCCACATAAATTTTCGTAAAATACATATGTATTTATTTAGACAAATGTAAGTAAGTATGTTACACATACGACGTGCCGTACGTGTTGGACGCACCCACATATGTATGTATGTAGCGACAGCTTTTCTTTTTAAATATATGTTTAACGAGTGTGGCATGCGCACGTTTGTAAGTGTGTGACTATTTTTAAGCTGCTTTTGTTTTTAACATAAAATTTGGTTGCCTCAGTTTTTACGTTTGTGATTCGTCCGAAACTGGAGTAGTTTCATCCGAAAAGTGAGCGAACGCGTGACCTATTTGTGTGTGTTTTTACTTGTACTTACTCGCATTCCTTTCAGTTCGGCTTCGCTGTTCCGTTCCACGCTCGATATGAAAAATCCGGTACCAAACTCTTTACCACCACGTACGGCGAACCCAAACGATGGACTGGTGTCGGGCGTGACCAAAATGCGACGCGCATGTGGCCGGATGAGGCGCAAAATGCGCAGACGTGTGCTCGCGGCAACGGCAGCGGCTGTTGAAGGTATGCTGATGGCGCACCAGGAAGCGGTAGTGGCCAATGTCATAACATCACTGGATGAACTGGCCGTAGAGCCTTGGATGCTGCTGCAATCGGTGAACATATTGACTGCCATTGATTTTGTTGTTGCGTTGTAGGCGCCTGACAGCTGCCGCTGGCTTTTGTTGCTGATGGCGAAATAATGTCTGCGGCGGCTGGTTGCTGATTAACTGCAAATGGAAATTGGAAATTTTTGTATGCGATTAATAAAATGTTTAGTTAGTTGGCAGCTGTGGCAGCAGCGATTGAAAGGCGTGAAAATGTTCGTGATAAAGAAATATTATAAATTGGCTGAGTGCAACAGCTACAAAAGTATGTAGTGGTTGTTGGTGTTGGTGGTTGACAGTGAAATTTCTCCCGCATAAAAGCAGTAGCATTTGTTGACGCTGCTATGTATAGCGCACAGATGCGCGTCGATGCGTTCGGGCTATTTGTGTGCAAGATGCACATCTGCGCTCGAGCTGAGCTGGTGGGCGTCAGTGGTGGCAGTGAAGGCGGGGTAGCGTGCTATTTGCTTTTTCAAACACACACAAGTCACTTCGCAGCTGTTTGCGAACTTTTGGCTAATGCGGGATCGCCCATGCCCCACGCTGCTGTTTGAATTTTGTTGCATTGTTGCTATTTTCGTAGATGCCTAGACGCCTAGACGCCTGTGGTGTGGTTGACACCCTCGCGTTATTAATTTCCATCGCCAACGTTGATTTTCGGCAATATCAGATGAATAGAACAGTGACACCTCTCGCAAATGCAACAACACTTTTAAATGCTTCAAAAGAAACAAAAATGCAGCTGCGTTAGTGAGGGCGTGGGATTATAGAGTCGATTTTGTCAAATTTTCAATTTCATCATTCATGAGACGAAGTCAATAAAATTTTGATAAATTGAGTACTTAAATTGGGAAAATAACGAGATTGGAGGAAGTCATACGTGTTTTTTGTGCAAAATATTCTTCGTTATAATAGCAATTATGCAATTTGTCATAGGCGTAATAAAGATTTTATTATTACTTGTTTTTTTTTACAAAATATTCCGAATTCATTTTTGGTTTTGATTATTTTAGGAATAATTTTTTGCAATCTTAATTTAAATTAAAAAAAGGAATCTATACTGGAATTCTGATAATCGCTACGGTAAATTTTCGTAGCCTCAATTCCCAAAATGAAAAGCTGTGGGGCTTAAAAGTATACAGCATGGAAAAGTAACAGATGCAGTGTGTAACCAGCAGAACCTGGTAGTGTGAAGGGCACGTAACTAGATGCTGCATGTTGTTAGGCGCGCCTGCTATTCTTTTGGAGATTTTTGGCGATCAAAATTAGCGATAGCGTTGTTGAAATCCGGCTGCTGATAGTTCGAAAATGCGAATTTGTAAAAAATATCTACAAATTGAAGGCATTGTTTTAAGAAAAAAGAAAAAAATATTATAGGGAAAATAGTCCCATTAAACCAGTCGAAGTATATCGAAACCTAGCACCCCAGAAATAAAAAGTCGAATAACAACTGAGTCAGTAAAACGCTAATATGAATCAGACATTTTGAGTTTAGGAAGCCATAAAACCCGCGAATTTTATTTCATCTTTCGCATTTTTGCTCTACATCGTCTACTTTTCTGCACCAGATAAAAATACGGTAAAGATGAGAGATTTTTACAGCTTGATTTGTGCACTTAAAATGCCTACGGAGCCCAAAGTAGCACTTGTTGGCAAGTGTTGTCCTTCGCTTGGACTCCAGGCTAACGTTATTTATGGCATTCATGTTGGATCTCAGGAATACTGAATTGAACAAGTCGGGCTAAAGTGGGTCACACTGTCAAAAAGGTCATTCCAGCAGGTCCTTCTGAATTTTGTACGAGGCTAAAAGTTCTCAACATCACTCTACATATTTAGCTTTATTATTTTTACTGTTATACATATGTAAGTAGCCACTCTCTGGGCTATAAAAGGCGGCTTTAAGATCGACCCAAAGGTGGTGGGTGCCGACTATCGAAAGTCCTTACCATGCCATGGCGCACTGTTAAAATCTAGTCAATAGTAATTGGTTTGGTCTGAAGCCACACTGATACGGCCGAATTCATTGCTTCAAGGAGGGCTTCAACATTTCGCACAGTTTCGTTTTTAAGAAGGCTTACCATATGGTATTGATTCAAACAGCAGAATCTACCATCTTGTGTATTGGGCAGAGTACGTTGAGACGCAAATGACCCAGTGTCCCTATTCCAGTAAAGAGCCTAACGGTAAGCTTTGAGAGCCTTAGCGAACTGCGTGTTTTTCGTTCATGCCGCCCTGACTGGAGAGAGTGCGATACCGCGCAGCTGTGCAGGTTTTCGCCACTTTCTCTACTTCTAAAGTTAAGAATCGCACTGAAGGACCTAAATACGTTTAAAGTCTGGTGTGGTTGCCCAATCAGCTATCCCCTGTCTGCTTTGTATAGTTTAGCCGATATACATACTCTTCCGTTTTTGTTGACTGAAGAGCCATGGGACGCTTTCTACGGCAACACAATCTTCCCGGAGATATTTATTAACATGTAGTCCATGGAGTTTCTGTAACGGCCTATGGACTTTGTTTTTTCTGCACGGCTCTAATGGTAGTAATAACTCAATTAAGTACAATAGGCTGCAGGCTATACTCAAACTGAAAATATGTATGAACCTAAGTGTAATATTAAAAATTCATAGCAATTATTTTGAAATAATGTCGCACTAAAATCAATGAACTCTTATTTAATCAAAAGAAAGACCACATAGAAAGCGGCATTGTTTGTATTATGTATGTACGTATGTATGTGTGCTATGCGATTTTCTGTTGCACGCACCTAACTCTAAACTCTAAAGTCAGCGGTACACCATCACGCCGATATTTAAATAATCACGTAAATATTTATTTCCATTCAAATTAACATTAAACAATTGCGCATACTTTTGTGCATTTAAATGCATATAAACTCCGGCCGCATCATGCAAATATCCAACTGAATGCGAAATAAAAAAATTGCAAAGGAAACGGGTGGACAACAGAGGTGCAAGTGCAATTGACTGTCTCTTCTTTGTTGGTGGCGTTGCAGCAGCTGTTGTTTGCTGGCTGTCGGTTGCCAATTGTAGGCTGCCGGCTGTCGGCTGTCGACTGTCCGCCGTTAGTAAAAGTGAAAAATTCGCTTTCTCCATGTCGCGTACATTTCCCAGCGGCGCGCCGTTGTCTAATGTTCGTGTCTCATCCCCGTCCGCGGTGGCGTTGCGCAGGCTAACCTTAATCACTAAGGAGCATCTTCATTTCCAACATTTCCATTTTCCTAGCGAATCGCGCGCCAAGTATTTGCACAACAGCTGCTGCTCGCCAACACGTGCAGATTGTGACGTCGGTGTGTGTGTGTGTGTTGTTAATTTAAATGGTGCTCAATGAAATCACATTGTTGGTGCGCGCACCCGTTGCTGTCGGTGGGGTGAAAAATGTTGGGGCAACAACAAAAGATGGTGACGGCAATGTTATGACATGACAATAACAAAAAAAAAAACAAAAAGTGGATGCACCGACGTTCACAGTTGACAGCGACAGTAATGGCGTGCAATGTCGTCATCTTATGCACATTGTCTCAAACACAATAAGAGCGTAAAGATAAGAGAAACCACGCTAGTTTTGTTATGAAAAAGCAAAAAAAAACGAGAAAAAAATGTTATGTGAACTTTACTGTTATTGAACTTTTTTTGTACCTTATAGAGTAAAGTTTTAATAGATTGTATAATATTACTTTTATAATATAAATATTTACTTATATGTATGCATAGATATGTGTGTATACATTTTTTTTAAATGAGTTGAAATACATAAATACGTTCATATAAACGAAATATTATGGAAATTGACCTTTCCGAATTGATCGATTTGCAGACTTCAGATGTCACTCGTTTGCTGGCAAAGCATCCCAACTCAAAAAATAAAAAAATAAAAAACTTAAGAAAAGCTAAAGCTGTCATCAAACGTTAATTTCGTTTCGAATTTCGTTAATGAAAGCAAAAAGTTACACAAAACACAAATTTTGTTCTTATGGACATATTTGGCAGATCTTCCTAAAAAATAAAAACATTTTATGAATTATGACGTTCTAAAAGCAAGCCACAGAAACTATAAATCGATTTATCCCAATGGCATACCATATTCTATTTTTATTGCGAAATTTGAGATCAATTCTTCATTCGTTATTTTTATCCATTGTCAAAAATACAAAACACACTTGACACAACTGACAAAAAATTGAGCATCGTGCAAAATTATAGAAGACAATTGTCCCAAATTGTTAATAAAAGATTGCTAAACTCCTTTAAAGCAGATTTCAGGCAGATTGTAGGCATTATTGAGTAAAACAGGCTTGTGGATTGCGAGGTATGCATTTTTCTAGGCATAGTCTATTTAAGAAAGGTGAAGCTGAACGCTCAGGGCGGTCGATTAAGGCGATGACCTCAGATTTCGTAGAGTTTCGGAATGTAGCGCGGGAACTTCATATTAACCATGTGATGATCAGAAAACTTTTAGAGTTAATCAACAGTTGCTTAAAAAAAAAAAAAATGTTGTTTATTTTTGTGTATGCTATTAATACGATTACTTGAGCATACATATGTATACCCAGTTTGCCACAGAGCGAGGACGAGTTCGAATCCACGTCGTTACGAAGTCGGTTTGGTGAAGCCATTTTTTCCATACAAACGTCGTGCCGACCTCGTTTTTTCTCATCGAATCGAGTTCGATTCGACGTCAGCCTGGTGAGGTCGTTTGGGTGAACTCGAAACGACGTCACACCGAATTAATTTTTTTTCATACAAAATTTGTACTCTATTACACTAAAATTTAATGACCTATAAAAAACTGCTTTGTATCTTTTCTTTTAATTCAGATTGAAAAGTTTGAAATTTTTTGGAAAGCTTGCTGATGTTTTTTTTTTAAATATTGCACACATTTTGAATTTGGATTTATATGGTTTTTGTTAAAAATTTTGAACCTCGTTTTGCAGTTCGCTAGTATATCGTTATCGGTTCGCCGGCGAACTGTGCTTTTCATCCGACGGCGAGTTCGTCGTCGTTTGGCAAATTGGGTGTACAGTATATACGCACCTATGTGTGTAAATACATAGATGTAAATAATAGTTGTTATTATTTTGTAACGCTGTAT